GTTGTGAGTGAAAGGAAACAAAGTAAAATTAGTGTTTCTCTGTTTAGGTGTGAAGAAAAACAATGACACTCCAATGGGCGGCAGTTGCAACCTTTCTTTATGCTGAAATTGGACTCATTTTAATCTTCTGTTTACCTTTTATTCCTCCTCAGAGGTACGAAATCTTCACATCATTAACAATAATCAATATTTGGTTGGCTCCAGTAGACTTGGAATTGTAAAACAAGAAAACTCTCGTTATGATTAGTAACTTTTGAGCACCGACTGTTTAAACAGTTCTCCTTCAAAATAAACTCACCTAACAAATTAGGTAGTATATAATGGTAACAATAAAATATCCCTTTGTATAAACTGTATGTGTACAAATGAAGTCACCTTTTCCTCCCTTGTAATAAGGAGGGCCAGTACTTTGGGTTCTGCTGGTAACAGATAAAGCAAAAGGAATACTTTGAACTCTCATTCTGTCTCGCCACCTGGGTTTACCTTTGCCTTACTGCCCTGAGTTGGAGCCGTGAACTAAATAAACATAAATGGTGTTCACAGTACAGCTGGATGCTAAACTGTTCCATTGAGGCAGTGGAACAGCAATTTAGAAAGGAAACCAGGCCAGTGGTGGCTCACGCCTGCAATCCTAACACTCTGGGAGGCCAAGGCTGAGGGATCCCTTGAGTTCGGGAGTTCAAGACCAGCGTGGGCAAGAACGAGGAACCCTCTCTCCTAAAAATAGAAAAATTAGTGTGTTGTCCCAAGTACTTGGGAAACTGAGGCAGGAAAATTGCTTGGGTTCAGAAGTTTGAGATTGCTGTGAACTAGGCTGAGGCCACAGCACTCTAGCCAGAGTGAGTCTGTCTCAAAAGAAAAAAATTAGTAAGTGAGTCAGTTTAGGCCTTGTGTAACCAAGTAATAGATTCATTAGTCTTTAAGGATAATTTTGCTACTTTTTATTCCACATTCTGTGTGTGTGTGTATATATGCATATATATACACATACACATATGTACATACAATGCTGAATATGAAAATTATCAGAACCATATATTAGCATTAGTCCTTAGAGAAGGATTTTCTAAGGTTTTTAAGTACCAAGTACTTAAATCCATGCATTGGTTCATTTTACCCTTATAATAATCCCCTTTTGGAAAGTTCAGTTTTAAGTCCAGAAACTTGATAGTATGAATGGTGAAATACATGTGTTGTAACAATGTTGTAAAATGTACTTTGGGTTCTGTTGATTACAGATAAACATCTTTTAAGATGTTGTAACATGTTCATACTCAAGACATAGACAAAAATCCTCTATAAATGAGATCCTACAGAAAACCCACTAAAGTATAGCAAAGTCTGGAGACTAGAGAAACTTAACTAAACTTTTACCTTAGCTCAGACTCCAGGTCATTTTCACAACTCTTAACTTACTCCTTGCCTGCCTGGATTTCTCTTAAATTTTATCCTTATCTATCAGCTATACTACAATTTTTTCCTTCCTTCCTAAAGAAAAATCATACTGTGGGGTCTTCGATATTATTTTATCCAATCCATTCATTCTATAGAGCACATACTAAGACCCACAGAGGGCAAGTGAATGACCAAGATCACTTAGCTGTGACTGTAAGTGGCAAATCCTAGACCAAAATCTGGCTCTCAGTCCAGTCTTCTTTCTGCTCCATCGTGCTGCCTCTTATCTAGTAGGTTTTATTTCAAACCCTCAAAAACACCTTGTTTTGCTTTTTGGTGATATTTGAAACAACAGATATATATAGGCCAGGCACAGTGGCTAATGCCTGTAATCCTAGCACTCTGGGAGGCTGAGGCACGTGGATTGCTTGAGGTCACGAGTTCGAGACCAGCCTGAGCAAGAGTGAGACCCTTTCTCTACTAAAAATAGAAAAAACTGAGGCAAGAGGATCACTTGAGCCCAAGAGTCTGAGGTTGCTGTGAGCTATGACATCACAGCACTCTACCCAGGGCAACAGCTTGAGACTCTGTCTAAAAAAAAAGAATCCTATAATCCTGTATATATTCAAGCAAGAAATATCTTGTTTATAAACAATCTCCCTATCTCCACCAATTTCAAGTTACAACTGTTTTCAAAATGTATCAGTCAGTAATTTATCATAATGTTAAAACTTTTATGAAAGTCTTTGAAATCTATTTAAGTGCTTATTTTGTATGTCTCCTATGGACTAATTAATGTGTTATTCATTTCAAATGCCCTTGTACAAAGTTTATTACCTTTCCAGTTGTGCAATAGATTACTTTGTCACTGATTGCCACTTACAACCAATGCTTATATCTAATGTATACATAAGGATTTGCCCCAAAAAAATTATCAATTGTTCTTTTCTCTATCAAAGTGATATATTAAATTATGAATCAGTAACCACTGATTTTTCTCCTGGCAATTTTTTTTTTTTTTGACAGAGTCTAACTCTGTTGCCCAGGCTAGAGTGTTGCGGCATTAGCCCAGCTCATAGCAACCTCAAACTCCTGGGATCAAGTGATCCTCCTACCACAGCCTCCCAAGTAGTTGAGACTACAGGCTCCAACCACAAGGCTCAACTAATTTTTTCTATTTTTAGAGAGATAGGGGTCTCACTTTTGCTCAGGCTGGTCTCGAACTCCTGAGCTTAAGGGACCCTCCTGCCTTGGCCTCACAAAGTGCTAGGATTATAGATTTGAGCCACCACATCTGGCCTCTTCCTGACAAATGTAATTTTTAGCCATCCTTATCAAGTAGCTGTTAGTTAGATGTATATATATGTGCACACGATATACAAATATACCCTCAAGTACAAATATAGATAGGAAAATGTGATGTGTATATATCATTTGCAGTACGTCCTTACTGGGTGTGTATCCACATCTTTTTCTCACATAACTCAGTATAGGCAGTCCAGGTTGCAAATGAGGCAGGTTCTGTATGTTTGTTCTAAAGTTGAATTTGCATGTAAGAATGGGCACCTCTACCTATTAACTGAAATATCCTCTGTTTGTAAGTGTGATTTGTACATAAGTCAGATGTTTGTAATTCAGGCACTGCCTATAGTTAAAGGCATGTGCTCAGAGCACCTGGGTTTATATGCCAGTTCTACTGTGTGACTGGGCCAAATATTGACCCTTTCTGACTAGTTCCCCCATCTATAAAATAGAAGTAGTACCAACATCTACCTCATATGGTAGTGATAACAATTAGACAAAATAAAACACATTAAAGTGCTTAGAACTGTAATATAGTAAGGACACAATGTATGTTAGCTATTATTAGCTGCTTTTGAATTGAGTTTTATGATTATTCCTTATAGTGGGTCTCTTATGTTCCCTTTTATACTTTACTGACCCTTGAAGAAAAAGCAAATTTACATTTGGACCTAGATCAAGGTATTGCCACTTATATTCTCTTCTTTGAAATGTAAAAATTTTGCATGTATTGTGTAATTTGAATAGTGTTTATATAAAATGCTCAGATTTGGAAGCATAGAGGTAAAAGGAATTGCTTCAGTATCAATCTCCTCTCTCCACCAATTTCACATTATAGCTGTTTTCAAAATGTATCAGTCAGTAATTTATCATAATGTTAAAACTTTTACGAAAGTCCTTGAAATATATTTGTATGTCTCCTATGGACTAATTAATGTGTTATTCATTTCAAATGCCCTTGTACAAAGTTTATTACCTTTCCAGTTGTGCCACAGATTACTTTGTCACTGATTGCCACTTATAACCAATGCTTTACCACTGTGTCTTTGCTTATATTGTTTAATCCATCTATACCATTTATTTTCTCATCTCATTTCCCCTGTGTTTAGATCTTGATCTAGGTAGTAATTACATGGTGTGTGTACATATATAAAATTTATCAAGCTATGTACTGAAGTTTTTTTTTGTTTTTTTTTTTTTTTACTTTGCTGTATATCTGTAATATTTGAAGAATGTTCTTAATTCCCTCATTTTTTTTTTTTTTTTTGAGACAGCGTCTCTGTCACCCTGGGTAGAGTGCTGTGACATCATAGCTCATAGCAACCTCAAACTCTTGTGCTTAAACAGTCCTTTTGCCTCATCCTCCCAAAGTAGTTAAGACTACTGGCATATGCCACCATGACTGCCTAGTTTTTCTATTTTTAGTAGAGACAGGGTCTCGCTCTTGTTTAGGCTAGTGTCAAACTCCTAAGCTCAAGCAATCCACCTGCCTAAGCCTCCTAGACTGCTAGGATTACAGGTATGAGCCACTGCACTCAGCAATTCCCTCATCATTAAAGTAGAGAAACTCTTCTGCTTGAAGTAGATGTTAAAAATGTACTATATAAAAATGAATGTGCAGAGAGTTAGACCTCCTACCTGAAGGCCACATGTGGCCCTCCAGATCCCCGAGCATGGCCCTTGACCAATTCCAAACTTCACAGAAGAGATTTGTTTAACAAAAGGATTT